AGACTTGTGCAGTTTGACCATCTGACCAGAGAATAATTTGTATTTATCAAGAAAAGTCAGAAGAGTTGCAGCTTGACTCACACTAGCCTTGCAGAAAAAAATGGAGTCATCTGCAAACAGCAAATGGGAGAGTGGAGGGCCATGTTTGGAGAGTTTGATGCCCTGAAGAGAACCATCCTCTAATGCAGCACAGATTAGAGCTTAGAGCAGTTCAGCATTGATAATGAAAAGGTAGGGGGACAAAGGGTCCCCCTGCCTTAATCCCCTAGAGGGAAGCACGTATCCACTAACAGAACCATTTACCTTGAAAGAATAAGTGCAGGATGAGATGCAGATCATTATTAGGTGAACAAATTTCTGATCAAACCCCATTTTGATCATGGTCTTCTTGAGGCAGGACCACTCAACTCGATCAAAGGCTTTCATGAGGTCCAATTTAATTTCCATGAAGAAGTTCTTTCCAGAGGAATGCCTGTTCAAGAAATGGAAAGCCTCTTGGGCTATGATCACATTATCTAGCATTTGTCTCCCTTTTATAAAAGCAGATTGGAAGTCACTCACACAAGAAGGAAGACAGTCTTTAAGTCTCAGAGCAAGAACTTTGGAAAGGATTTTGTAAACCACTGTGCATAAACTGATAGGTCGGAATAGAGAGAGATTATCAGGATTTAGAGATTTAGGAACCAGTGAAATGATGGTGTGGTTCCAATATTTGAGGATCTGACCATTGTCAAAAAAACTGGATAAAGCAGCACATAAGTCAAATTTGACAATACTCCAAAAATTTTGATAAAAAAGAGCCGTCATACCATCTTCACCCGGAGCACTGTCAGGACTTAGGCTGAAAAGAGCCTCTTTAATTTCTGCTTCAAGGACAGGCTTGAGTAGACTTTGATTCATGCTTTTAGTGATTGACTGTGGAATGTGGTGGAGGATGGAGTAGAACTCTGCAATATGGTTTTGGATTTCAGGTTGAGTGGAGCAGACTCTTTTTTGATCAGTGATTAATCTGCATATAGCATTTTGCCTCCTCCTCATCATCACATAAGCATGGAAAAACTTGGTATTCCCATCACCAGCTTTTAACCATTGAAGTTTTGCCTTTTGCTGCCAGAAAGATTCTTCAGCATGGTGGGCTTTTTGCAATTCAGATTTAGTAGCCACCCAAGATTCCAAGTTATCAGCAATACTGTTTTGCCTTATAGCTTCAAGTTTGGCTGGGAGGTGTTCAATATTGGACTGGTTTTGGGATTTGAATTTAGCACTCCAGATGATTAGGGCTTCCCTTGTGCTTTTGATCTTTTCTTTAAGTTAGAAAAAATGAGTCCCTGATTTAGTGGTGCTCCAGGCTGCTTCCACAATCTGAGCAATGTCAGGCTTGAGAAGCCATCTTTTATCAAAGTGAAAGCGGTGTTTTGCTTTGTCCTTCAGTTTTCCAGAGTCTAGAAGCAACATAGAGTGGTCAGATGCACTTTTGATCACATTGGAAATTGAAGCATTTGGGTAGGTGGTAAGCCATTCTGCAGAACCAAATCCTCTGTCCAGTTTTTCTTCGATGAGGTCCTCATTAGATCTGTTATTGCACCAAGTGTATTGGTAGCCAATCATTCTGATTTCCTCCATGGACATGTTGTTAATAAATTCTCTGAAACCAGCTAAACTCCTGGCACTTCTAGTAATACCACCCAGCTTTTCCTCATTGTTACAAATGTTATTCCAGTCAACGATGATAAACCACTTGTTACCCCAGTTGCATTTATCAGATTCAAAGCACCTCCACTGCAAGACTTGAACATCAGAATTCCACATGAGTAATAAACCAACACTAGAGCCATTAGGATTAATGATAATGGATCTGCCCTCAAAACCTAGCTTTTTAACCACTGTATTTACATAACCAGAAGCCTTTTTTGTTTCAGACAAGAAAATAAAAATTGGGTGATGAGCTCTTACTGTCTCTCGGATTTGGGAAACTATAGAGGGCCCACCCAGCCCTCTATAGTTTCACACCGCAGCTAGCATTGGGCACCTGGGTGCCAATCGAGGCTGGCCACCCCCACCTTTTCCGAAGAGTATTTGGATTTTTTGTTATCAACTGGAACAATTGACTTGCCTTTGTTCTCAGAGAGAGAATCATCCTCCTCCGGTTGTTGCCTTTTCTTAGTAGCAGAGGGTTGTCTTATGATTAAATCAGTATTCTATCTAAGAAGCATGCCTTCTTTGCTGCTTGATCTTTTCCAGGTTTTAATCAGAGGCTTTTGAATCATCAGAGTATCACTAATCTCAATGTTGGGGAGGATAGGTGAAAGATTGGAGCAGGGGTTTTCCACAGACATTGGCCGGGTAACAATTGCAGAGGGGAATTCTGAATTAGAAATAGGGGTAGTCACTGGCAGGTTCTCCCCTGAAGTAGAGCCACAAGTATCTTCTGCTTGAGTATCTGAGAGATTTGAGGATGGATGAAAGAGAGGCCTTGCCTCATCTTGAATAAGGAGGAGCTGGTTATCCTCCATTTGACTGGTGGCTGTCTTGTTAGGAGATTGGTGGAATGGAGGGGTATGAGTCTCCGAGGGAGAGCCTCTAGAAACTGAAGGGCTTAGGCTTGCCCAGTGCTGGCCTTCTGCTCGCATCCAGTCACCATATCCACCTTCTTTAAGAGACTTGTTTTTTATGTCTGCAAGCCGAGATGAACAGCTTCTATCTAGGTGACCAATAAAACCACAATAATGGCAGAAATTAATGAGTTTTTCATATTTGAAGCCAACATTCACAATCTGCTCTCCCAGGCGGATTTTGGTGCAACGAGGAAGAGGTTCGTTTAAGTCCACTGCAACCAAAAGTCTTAGGACCTTTCCCCCATGGCTTCCAGCACCCATGACTACTACATTAATGGCTTGCTTAAAAACCGATCCAAGCTTTAGACCCACGTCGGTACTCAACCAATTGAGGGGGAGATTGAAAACCTGGACCCAAATCTGGAGTTCTTGGAAGACTGAATGCTTACTAGAGAGACCTGTCTGCCAACGAGAAAGGATAAGATATTGATTATCAATGCTCCAGTTGTTTCCTTTGGCTACTCTCTCCATATCTTCCTTGCATTCGAAAATGAATTGGAAATAATTGTGCTCCAGTTCTTTGACTTCCATCTGTTTTTGGAGCTTCCAAATGAAACCCATGGCTGGCTTAACTCCAATCCAGCTCGCTTTTCGGTCACCGATTACTTTCCCAAAAAGACAGCGCTGGCATTCTTCGTCACTGAGCTTGATATCTTCATTTCTTATATCCACAATAGAGTCTTCTCTGCCTGAGAGGTAAAAGTTTTCCAATTTCTGCAGGATTTCATCATCCTTTTCTTTGCTAGATTGGGGGTTCATAATGAATTAGGGTTTATAGAGAGACTGGAAAAGGAAAACGCTCGAAAGGCTACAAAAGGGAGGAAATCCCCAACTGCAACAGAGGAGATACAAGATCAAAACAAGGATCCGAAAGATGGTGGAAGAAATCGAACTACAATCGCTCTCCAAGAGAGAATACAATCGCTCTCCAAGAGAGAATGGTTATGCTAGGTTCAGTGAGGTGAATTTTTTCTATTGCATTATTTATAATTATGGAATATTAATTACGATGTAATGTTTTATTTAAAAAAATTACGAAGCATAGAAATTATAATGTTGAAAACTAAAATTAAATATTTATTTATAATTTTGTGAATAAAGACAAGAGAATTTTCTTTTTTTTCTTTTTGCAAAAAGAGACCTAGAGAAATTCAATAAAGTAGCATATTATATTTGTTAATATAATTATAAAATAAATAAAAGAACTAAATATAATATTATTCTAAAATAATTCAGTCTTTTTATCCTCACACCCATTAAGAAAAGAATTAAAATTTATTTTTTATTGCTAACAATTATGTTTTACATGTTACATGAATAAAATATTAATTGAAAAACAGAAAATTAAATAAAAATAAAGAGAAGGGAAAGGAATAGGACGGCTCCAAGAATTAAAAAATAATTAAAAACAAAAAATGAAATAAAAATAGTGAGAAGGCAAAGGGGTGGGAGCTTGGCAGGAGGTGGGCCATCTATTGCAATAAGGTGCTCAATCAATTACTAGTAAGTGGCTTCCACGCGCTGCAAACTAAATGAGGGATGTGAGCCGTGATTTTTAATGCTCCCATTAAATCTTTTTATTTCATTTTTTTAATTAATTTATTACAGCTTTTCCGGAGGTTTGGAAATGGAAACCGGGTTTGAGTTTCTAAACCTTAAACCTGTCCATTTTAGTGGTAAACCTTAAGGTTTACAATTTTAAACCTCTCCCAGAACCTGTTGTTAAAGATGAGCAAAATGGATTGTGAATTGGGATAAGGATATGTAAATTTTCAAGAACAATGTGATTGATGTGGAGTTCAATTTGAGAGGATTGAGCTTGAAAGCATCAACTAAATTTCAATTTCTACTCCAATGAATCATAACTGTACAACACGGGAGAGCTGTGTGTGATTGCTAATACAATTGCTTAACGACACTCATTGAGTAAATGAAATGACTACATAAGTTGCATCCACCAACCCACATGATTTTCATATGAACAAAGCTGCCAAAACTAGAGGACGAGAATAATAATCAGTTGTTATTTAGCATAAGAAACTCGCTCCACCAAAAAATTCCCAAGCATAGTTGTATTCTCATAATTTACAATATTGCATTCAGCTTGCAGTTACAAAATATTACAACTCTCACTGTCTCACTCACTCTTGAAGAAAAGATTTGGAAGGAGCTCATAAGCTCAATCAGACACCCTCCGAGAAAAAAGAGTTTATTTCCCGAAGACACCAAGAAAGAAAATGGAAGTGTAACGGAGAAAATAGCTATTCATGTGCAAGAAACACAGAATCATTTTGTTCACTTTAACTAATCAAATATTCACTCATGTCGCGTATATATGGTCGTATAGTACAGAATGTAGTCAAAGATATCGAAATTTGCTAATGATTAAGAGCTGGTCACTCCATTCTTCACCAAGCGCTGCCTGGCTCTCTCCATCTTCCGCTTGCGCCATTCCTCAAGGGCTACAAAACAACCCAATGGTTTAAAATAATAACATCTACAGACAGAATATTATTGTTTCTATAAGTCAGCAGGTTGTGTTAAAGTGGCTGCCTTCTGTTAAAAATTCTAAAACCGTCACTCAAAATTATGCTTTTTACCTCACCACACGGCCACCAAAATATTACATGCCATGTCATCTACTGTAGACTACTTTTGGGTTCATATGAGGTCACAAATTCCGAATTCTCTGCCGAAGATAATTCAGGCAGTGGCTCATTTTTGGTTCTCTTGGGTTTCATCTCTAGTCTACCCCAACTTGCTTGGGACTAAAAGGCTATGTTGTTGTTGTTGTTGTTGTTATGGTATCAAGCAATAAGACATTTAAAAAGGTGAGTATATTAATACTTTTCGCCTGCCATTTTCTTTTTATTTGTTTGCCTGGATAAGTAAACCGTATGGTAGGGCTAAAAGAACCATCAAAGGCAGCATAGTATCTAAACTCCACAGCACCACAAGAAAATAGCAATGGAACACAAACAAGAATTTTTTGCATCTTACCAGGCTGAGAATACTAAAGGAAATTGTAAGGGGTGAAGAGACAGGAAAAAAAATTAACAAAATAAAGAAACTCACCTTTTGTGCTTCCGGCATCTGAATTCGAACGAAAATTATTCAATCTAGATATTAAGTCCACTGCAGCTGTCTGCTTTATTTCTTTCTGTTGAACTTGTTCTGTCTCAACATGCATGTCCTTCTCAATTTCTCTAACCTAACAAGGGCATAAAAATTATTTTTCAAAGCATCTATCTCCTAAAACCACAAGCTTGAAATTGCATTATAATAACATAGCATGTATGACAAAATCCCTTATCATTAACAGGATGTGAGATTCTTAAAAATGGAAATCAACTGAAAGTAAGAATGTCCAAACAAGCTTCTTCTTATTTCAGAAAAGGAAATCTTAAAGCTGAAAAAAATTCAAAGGTTCATAATCCCTCGTGAGCTGTAATTGAAAAGTATAAACAAAACAAATTTGATGTTTACAAACTGAAGAAGAAAAAATGTGAATTTCAATTTTTTCTATTTATATTTAAACCTTGCAGACGCTCCCTACATAAAATCGTGAACATAAAATTGAATATACAGACTTGAGTGATCAAACACAAATTAACAAGTTCTAATAAATATAAGCCACCGAATCATTCTAGAAGAGAGCAAACTCACTCTTTTGATCAAATCCAAAGGAACCATGGCCCGTCTTATGTCTTCGCATTCCTTTATATGTCTGAATAAAGCTGTATCTCAAAAGCAATGCCAAAGTTCATAAGAAAACAAACTAAACATACAATTACATTAAGTGGAGGCAACTGATACTGAGAACGATATCACAGAGAAGAGGTCGTAGAAAATAAAAAGTATGTTCCGCCAAGTTAATAATCCAACGAAGGTGAATTTCAAATAGAGTATGCACAACAAATTCCAAACAGTCAAATATCAAAAGAAAAGATTCTAACATAAACTAGATCGCGGAAATATCTAAATTACCATCACGATTTCTATGTTGAAGTGTGCACCATTATTGCAGTTATACTAGAAGCATTAACCACTCTTCAGCTTTTCTAAATAATATGTGGACCATAAACTCAAAAGCACTTGGAAATTTCTATTAAAAGCACTCTTTCCTCTGTACGCTAAGCGGTTGTTCACGAAGCTGTACAATTATTCATAGAGCAACAAAATGCATAACCTTGAAGACATCAAAGTGCTTAACACTGTAAAGATTTGCTCATCTTTTATTTTCCCCATCACAGTTATAAAAATTAACATCCCCTCAGTAAATTGTCCTAGTCATCCACAATTTCGTGCAACCTCATACATCACTAGGAAAAACCAAGATGATCTCTGGGCTAGAAATAAAAACCCATCTCACTAAAATGTCAATGGATTATAAATTATGGCAAATACATTCTGAATAACTTCAAGATTTGGTACAATAAATAAAGAAACCCCATTTCTCACATAGACCCAAATAAAAGAAATACAGACATGTCTAAACAAGAATAGAAACAATAAGTCGAACTACATTTGACAAAACAAAAGAGAAAAACAAAAGGAAAAAAGTAGCGAACAAACAAACCTCTCTGAGAGGAAGCTAATCTGGAGGACGGAGAATAGAAGAAGGGTTGAAGCAAGAGAAGGGCAGTGATTATGTTAAAAGTGCAGAGCAGAATAGTTGCATTCTTGTACGATAAGTGTGATTTCACTGACCTCCACAAGTGTTGCTGCTGCACTTTCTCCATTTCCCCACCAATTCTTTCAAGAAAAATGAACAATTGGAATGGTGGTGGGCTTTTTTCTTTAGGGGTGGGTGGGGGGAAAGAAAAGGAAAGAACATATATCTATTAATTAGAAAAAATAGAAAAATAGCATTACAATTTTCTGGCTCAAATTTTCAGTTTTTATTAATGGAAAATTTCTCATAAATCCCCATCTCTCTAATTAATTTCCTCTCAGTCCTTAGTGCATAATTTTTTCCTCCTCAGTCCTCATTTCTAATTTGTCCTTCCCTTTTACATATATATATATATATATATATATATATGTATGGGAGGATCCAATGAGTACACTCCTTAAAATGAGTCCACTTCTTAAAATATATATTAATTAAATAATAAAATAATTATTAATTGACTCCGGCGTTGACCATTGACTTCCGGCGTTGACCGTTGACTTCCGGCGAAAAATCGTTGACTTTCGACGTTGACCGTTGACTTCCGTCGTTGACCGTTGACTTCCGGCGTTAACCCATTGACCCCTAATATGCATCATATGTATGAAGTAAATATGCATCCAGTACCATGCATTCAATATGAACTAAATATGCATGGGATATGAATTACACATGCAGTCCTTATGAACTAAATATGCACCGATAATTTCAACTAAGTATACACCTGTTATGAACTAAATATGCATTTGTTATGAACTAAATATGCATCATGAATGAACTAAATATGCAGCGAAAAATATGCAATAAAAATGTACATTTTATATAGGTAATTTATGATGCATAATTAGTTAATTTATTATTAATATTTAGGTAATTTATGATGCATATTTAGTTAATACGAAATGCATACTTGTTATATTTAAATTAAATATATAATAATATTAATTTATTAGGCATATTTACTTCATTCATGATACATATTTAGTTCTTACGAAATGCATATTTAGTTCATGAACAGTGCATACCTATTTTATTTGAGATCCAATCATAACAATTTATTTGTGTTATTAATCAAT